CCCCAAAACCCCAAAACCCCAAAACCCCAAAACCCCAAAACCCCAAAACCCCGAAGGAAATTAAATATATTGTAAATAATTAATCTAGATATGGAAGCATATCAGCCCCAAGCAAACATTGAAAATTCGTTAAAGCAAAAGCTGCAACTGTTCATCTCCTGTAGAAAGCTCAAAGACCTCGATATTATCTCTAAATCAGACCCCTTCGTAGAGGTCTATCTTAAGAACGATGAGAGATCATCTTGGATGCTCGTTGGGAAGACTGAGACTATCCAAAATAACCTCAATCCAGATTTCTCAACTCCAATCATTCTTGATTACTTCTTTGAGAAGACCCAAGACATTAGGTTTGAGGTTTATGATCAAGATCCTACCAGAAAGGAAGAACAAGGAATGAATACCACTAAGGTAGCCAACCTTCTTGGTGCAAAGAACCAGACTTACTATGCTCCACTTCTTCTGTCAAATGGGTCAAAATAAGAATCGGGGATCTATAGTGGTGAATACTGATGCTGTAAAGGATAGTAATAAATCAGTGGTGATTAGCCTTGAATGATCCAAATTAAAATCAAAGAAAGAGTTCTTTGGTCTAGTTAGCACCAACCACCCATTTCTAGAAATCAAACGTTGAAGGACCCGAGAAGTTACTACTGATGACATCAAAAATGCTATCAAAGTGTACACATCTCCAGTCTTGAAGCCCACTCTGAATCCTGTCTTCAACTTGGGAGAGATCTCGCTGGACAAACTGTGCAACAACGACATTGACTTGCCGCTGCTGTTTCAGGTGTGGTCCTACCGGAAATCAGGCAAACACCGCATCTACGGAACTGTCCAGGGTTCGGTCAGGCAGATGGTCGACCAAGTCGGAGTAGAGCACTCAATCATTAAGAAGCAAGGCAACCCTTATGGTACAATGACGTTCTCCAGGTTTGATTACATTGAAAAGCCAACAATGGTTGATTACCTGAGAAGTGGGTGGAAGATCTCCTTAAGTGTGGCAATTGATTTTACAGCGTCTAATGGAGAGCTCTCTGAATCATCTTCTCTTCATTACATTAATCCAAATAACCCAGCAAAAATGACACCATATGAAGAAGCCATCTATAATGTCGGAAACATTTTAGAGCCATATGACTCTGATCGTATGTTTCCAGTCTTCGGTTTTGGAGCCAAGCCAAGATTTTGCGGAATACAACAAGTTTCTCATTGTTTTCACCTTAACGGCCAAGAAAATCCAGAAGTTGAAGGAGTCCAAGGTATTCTCGAAGCATACAGAAATGCCATGTATGGTGGAATTGGACTCTATGGGCCTACCAATTTCACTCCATGCTTGCAAGCAATGACCAACTTTATTAAAGAGAGGCTTTCGATGACTGAATATCATATAATGCTTTACATCACTGATGGAGCAATTACAGATATGAAGGAAACAATTGCTGAGTAAGTCAGAATTTCATTCTGACAATAATAATTTATAGAATTGTAAAAGCAAGCCACTTGCCAATGAGCATTATCATTGTAGGAGTTGGGACAGCTAACTTCTCCAGAATGGAAGACTTAGGTAATACTTTCTTGGTTATCCTATAGACTCTGATGGACAGATGCTTCGTGACGGTTATGGAAATTATGCATCAAGAGACATAGTACAGTTTGTAGAATTTAACAATTATTCCAGTGACATTTCGTACTTACACGAAGATGTGCTCCGTGAGGTTCCAGGCCAACTAGTCGGCTACATGATGAACAATGGAATTGCTCCAAACCCATTAACACATGAAGAGTATTAAGAACTTTATCTTTAATTTCTACTAATTTTCCATGATGCTGAAATAATATGGGGTTTTGGGGTTTTGGGGTTTTGGGGTTTTGGGGTTTTGGGG